ACCGAGGAAGACGAAGAAAACGCCCGCTTGTAGGAGGAGGAACTACCATTGAAGTCCAACGGGCTCTTGTGCGGCGAATTGTATAGTGCAATGATGAGCATGCCCAGACTGAACATGTCTGCCGCAGGGGTTATGTTGTTGTCCATGACGAAGTCGGGCGAAGAATAGTCTATGTTCAGCTGAACGTGTCGTGGCAGGCGAGCGTCGTAGTTGAGGACTTCTGAGAGCGAGATGGGCGTAACGGAGGTGGGCTTCGTCGAGTTCTCTGGAGGTGTTGAAAAACCAAGACCTGAGATTTTCCAATCAGACTGTCACTGCGATCAGCAAAGTGTTCGTAAAGATTGGTGGTATTGTGGCTACCTACTTTAGCGTTGATGAAGATGGCGTCTGGGGTCAAATTCGCATGCACCAGTCCAGCGCTCTCGTGCAGAAATTCCAAGCCCTTTGCGATTTGTAACAGCCCCTTCTGTATCTCGAGCTCGTCGATTTCGAGCTCGCGTCTTCGCTTCTGGCCGTCGGCTTCTTCGATAACATATCGGCTGCGGCGCCCACCAACACCGCCTGCCTTCTCCTGCTCGTCTTTTTCTTGCAACAGGCCGGCGAGCGATGCGGTGACGGGCTCTGTTGCGAACATGAGGCCGCCGCCACGGGTTTCCTCTACTGGCTCAGCCAACTCCAATACGCTTGGGTGCCGTAACCGAGCTAGGGAACTGGCCTCTTTCTTGAGTCTCTCCACAACCTCCTCATGCGCCCGCTTGAGCCCTGAAGCCGCTGAGCGCCCACCGAAGCCTGCGCCAGCTGGTGGTTCCAACGACTTCTTCTCGAACACAAAGACAGAGGCCGCCTTCCCCGTCGACTTCTTCTTCGCGTCGTATATCTTCCATGGCCCTGAATACGACGTGGGCTGGGGGCTGAGGGTGTAGTTGCTCGAGATGTTGGAAGTGAAGGACTTTAGGGCGTTGGAAAACATGGTGCTGGTGGTCTATTCGCGCGCGCGGCGATACTGTGGGAGTCGAGCGAGGGCGTCATGGACTGTGATGTTTGGCGTGGGCAGTGTTGGTATGCGCGTGAGATCTGAGACAGACAGCTGGAACTGCCGAGAGGATCAAGACATTCGGGACGCTCTTTCCGCAAAATGTCTAGGGATAATCACCGAGGACTCGCGCAATGTCTAGACTCGTCGGTACGATGCCGGAGACCCAAAAGTCAATTGCACGATTGATAGACAAAGCCAAGTGTTAGTTCCCCCACGCGAGCTGTGGAGAAGGATCCATGGATGCCAGGGCCGCCTCTAGTCTCCCGCCTTGCATGACGTGAGCGCACGCAGCACACATGGGCAGTGTGAATGCAGCAACGGCCAAGATACCAAGCACGCGAATAACCTCAGATATCCGCGCTGACGATGATTCAGATGTCGTTCGCGCCCTACGATTGCCTGTTCGGTGGCTGGTGCAGTGCGCGATCGGAGGTGACTGTCGCGACACAGTCGCGAGGTCCGATATCTCCAGGCTGCGGTCAGCTTCGGTCTTGTAGCCCAAAATAATTATTACTCTGGAATCCACCACCTGCACCAACTCTACTCCCGCCCCACCCTCTCCGCTTGCACTGCATCCCTCACAATGCTTCCGCAGCGGTCTTCACGATTGCTCTCTTGCCTGTCCCGTGGCGCCTTCCGTTCGCCTGTAGCACCGCTCAGCGCGTCGCTGCGATGTCGGACCCAGCGACCCTACAGCATTCATGCTGACAAGTCTGTTGGCGAGAAGATACAAGATATCGACCCGACCAAGCTCTCCATAACCAAGACGACGACGCCAAAAGACCTGCTGCCGCATGAAGAACTTGTCTTTGGCCGCAACTTCTCTGGTAACAGCTCCAATGGCACCAAACTTCACATCTAACACGTACTCAAGATCACATGCTGTCGCTCGAATGGACAGCAACAGAAGGATGGCTGCCAGCACGCATTACCCCCTACCAGAACCTCAGTCTCGACCCCGCGACGTGCGTCTTCCACTATGCGTTCGAGTGCTTCGAGGGCATGAAAGCCTACAAGGACAAGAACGGAAACATCAGGCTGTTCAGGCCGGACAAGAACATGGCCAGGCTGAACAAGTCATCGGCGCGAATTGCGTTGCCCACTTTCGACCCCGATGCTTTGATCGAGCTCATTGGCAAGTTTGTGAAGGAGGATGAGCGTTTCGTTCCCGAGTACGTTCAGTCTGAATCCTCTGTTGGCTACAACACACTCTGACCACACCAGTGCGCGAGGCTACTCTCTCTACCTTCGCCCAACGATGATCGGCACTCAGCGCACCCTCGGCGTCGGCCCTCCCGCGTCTGCACTACTCTACGTGATCGCTTCCCCCGTCGGCCCATACTACCCAACCGGATTCAAGGCTATCTCGCTCGAGGCTACAGACTACGCTGTGCGCGCGTGGCCTGGAGGTGTTGGAGACAAGAAGCTTGGTGCCAACTACGCACCTTGCATCGTCCCGCAGATGCAGGCTGCAAGCCGCGGATTCCACCAGAATCTGTGGCTGTTTGGCGAGGAAGAGTTCATCACCGAGGTCGGCACCATGAACCTGTTTGCCGCTATCAAGAACAAGGAGACTGGAAAGCCAGAACTGCTCACTGCGCCTCTCGACGGAACTATTCTTGAGGGAGTAACGCGAGACTCAATCCTCGAGCTTGCACGGGAACGTCTGGTGCCCAAGGGCTGGACCGTATCGGAGCGCAAGTTCACCATGAAGGAGGTGGCCGACGCTGCCAACGAAGGACGCATGATGGAGATCTTCGGTGCGGGTACTGCTGCCATTGTCGCTCCGGTGCGCAAGATCAGCTGGAAGGGACAGCTTGTCGACTGCGGACTGGAAGACCACGTCGAAGCCGGCCCAATTGCACAGCAGATGAAGGACTGGATGGAGGCGATCCAGTACGGCGACGAAGACCACCCGTGGAGGTATGAGTTTCCCAGTCACCATGCAGATGATTCGCTAACATGACAACAGTTACAAGGTGATATAAGCAAGTAGTTGATATAAATGCGATGTGTTGAGCGTGCATGTTTGCGCAATAGACTGTATATACATGAGACCTGGTCGTAGCTTGAAAAAAGATATGTGGCCCTGGCGCATTGACATTGGCGAGGGTGATGGCACAGTGACTTCGCGATGGTGGGGTAGAGGATGCGATGCAGAGCGTGCCTGACTACGCCCTCCTTAGATGACGTTCCTGCTAGTCTCTCTAGCTCCCAACCTCTCGTTACACCGCCGACGCTCCAACGCCTAAACACCCCGTCAATTGCCCGCCCAGAGCTGCGCCGCCGCTCGTCAATCCCACCACCACGCGCCCCGACGACACGCCTAAGAATTCTCACGATGCTGGCCGGCGCACTCTGCCGCTTGGCAGCCGACGCTCCCAGGGCCTCCCCACACGACATGCCGCAGCTCGCCCGCACCCTCGGCCGCGCCCTCCTCGCCCGCAATGCCGCCCAGCACCCGCATGCGCGCGCCCTCTCACGCGCCTTCGCCTCTGCCCTCCAGAACCGCCGGTCGTATGCTACAACTACGCGCGCCACCAAGCCCACGGCGACGGTGAAGAAGGCGGTCAAGACAGCCGCCGCTAAGAAGCCTGCGCCCAAGAAGACGGCCACAACAGCAAAGAAGGCGGCTCCCAAGAAGAAGCCCGCAGCAAAGAAGGCGGCGCCCAAGAAGAAGGCAAAGAAGCCTGCCGCGAAGAAGCCCGCGCCCAAGAAGCGCGTCAAGAAGGTCTTGACGCCCGAAGAACAACAAAAGGTCAAGCTCCGAGAGCTACGCGCCAAGGCACTCAAGGAACCCGTGAGCCGCAGGTCATTGTCTGCTCTCCATGTCTTCTTAGCTGAAAAGCTGGCTGGTGTTCCGGGCCAAAAGACTGGGCAACTTCCGGCTGCTACGGCCGAGTTCCAGAAGTTGACCCCCGCTGAGCTTGAGGTAAGCCCTGTCCGCCTCACAGTGCATCACACTATACTAACTGTCTGAAGCACTACAACCACCTCGCAAGCGAGAGGACTGTCGCTAGAAGAGCCGAGTACGACGCATGGCTCAAGGCCTACACTCCCGACCAGATCCGCATTGCGAACAACGCACGTGCCCAGTTACGGAGGATCTATGCGAATGAAAAGAAGAAGGCTCCTGCTCATACTGCCAAGCTTGTCGATGAGCGTCATGTGAACAAAGTGATACCCGCCTATGCCGCCTTTGTCAAAGAGAGGTTTGCCTCCGGAGACTTCAAGAACATTTCCCCTCTCGAGGCTATGAAACTCATCTCCCAGGAGTGGAAGTCTTTGGGCGCTGCTGAGAAGAAGGTATGCATAACAAATGCGACGTTGATACAGGCTCTAACATAATCATAGAAATACACAGACGCCTACGCTGCTCAGAAGAACGCTGCGGCATCCGCATAATACGTCTAGCGGCAATCGCTTGTAGCGCCTGCTTCTCCATCACCTCTCTACTCAGAGCCGCATCGATTTCCTTTGTCAGTCATGATTTGGGCCTCCATGATACCGTGTATGTTCAGTCTGGATATTGGACCTCACCTGGTGTTCTGGTTCAAGGCGGTGGGTTCAAGGTTGGAACTGGTAAGATTCCTGTAACAGAGACATGTCCATGTAGTTTCTCAGAGTACTGCAATGCTTCTCCTGCGATTGTGGTTTATTCTAATGCAATCGCAAGTATTGAGAGTTGGTGTAGTTGCACAGGAAGTGACATTGCGCACCAATCATCTAGCGTGCTTTCCTTATCTCTACTACCCCCAGCCAAGCCCAGCAATCATCCCATCCCACAACGTTTACCCCAGGCTTTGCGAGTAGATCTATTTCCGCGGCAGATAAGCGTGCGTTTGGGATAGGCTTGTCTGCGTCATTGGATAAGCCACATAGAAGCTTTCGAGATGTACCTCAGTTATCCGCGTAAAGCTGTCTTCTGTTCACTCTCGTTGATACCTCATTCGAATACACAGTCATGGCTTCTGATGAAGAGAATGGTCACGAACGTACCCCTCTCCTGCACCAAGCCCGATTATCCCATCTCCAACATGAACAAGACGAAGAAGCATCTTCAGTCATCGCATCCACCGTAACGAAAGAAGAACAGCAATTGGCAGAAAGTCCAGTCGGAGAACGATTACCATACAATGACTACACGACCATCGACTGGCTACACGATCTGGTACTAACATATCTCGTCAATTCTCAACACCCTCTGTAAATGTGCTAATACGCAAACCCAGGTCAAAGACTCCTACCGCTACCGCGCCCTCCACTCCCACCCTGGTCTCCGCTACAAACTGCTCACTCTTCTCGATGCCAGTTCAGGCTGGCTTGCTGTCGTCGTAATCGGCGCACTGACGGCATGTATCGCCTTCCTCGTTGACATCGCCGTCGTAACGGTTTCAGACTGGAAAACCGGGTATTGCTCTGGCCATTTCTTGCGAAACAGAGAAGATTGCTGTGTTGCTGTCGAGAAGAGTCCGTCACTGTTTATGATGAAAGAGACGGGGGAAGAATGCGCGGATTGGAAAGTCTGGAGTGAGGATTACAAGAGCAGTTTTGCAATCTACGTGGCCATGGCGATGGCATTCGGCATCATAAGTTCGAGCTTAACCATGTTAACTCGGTCTACCCTCCCATCGACCTCATCCTCCAACCCTATTACGAAGAACGCGAGCAACGGCCACACCACCTCCCCTTCTTCCTCCGCGTCTGCCTCCAACAACCCACCCACCACACCAACCGTCCAAGGCAAAACAATGTACCTAGCCTCCGGCTCCGGCATCCCCGAAATAAAAACCATCCTCTCCGGTTTCTCCATTCCCTCCTTCCTCTCCCTCCCCGTGCTGATCGTAAAATCCCTCGGCGCAATCTTCGCCGTATCCTCGTCCCTCTGTCTAGGAAAAGAAGGCCCCTTTGTCCACATCTCCACCTGCATCGGCCACCTAACCGGGCGCTTGATACCCAAATACGCATCCAATGGCCGCAAGATGCGAGAGCTGCTCAGCGCGGCATGCTCAGCGGGACTGTCAGTAGCATTCGGCGCGCCGATCGGAGGCGTGCTGTTCAGTTACGAGGAGATTAGCACGTATTTTCCAAGGAAAGTGCTGTGGAGGGCTTTTCTGTGTAGTCTTACTGCGGCGATGGTGCTCAAGGAACTCAATCCAACCGGCACGGGGAAATTAGTGCTTTTTGAATCGCGGTTTGGGGATGAGTACAACGCTATTCACTACTTCGTCTTCGTCCTCTTGGGCGTAGCGGGCGGTATCTTCGGCGGCCTGTTTTGCAAGTTCAATTTCCTGTGGTCGAAGTGGTTCAGGGCTTTTGGCGTTATTAAGAGATATCCAGTGTTGGAGGTTGCGTTGGTGGTGCTGGCGACGGCGTTGGTTCAGTATCCTAATCCGTTGACGCGCGAGCCGGGGGATGTTATTATTAAGAATTTGTTGGTGGATTGTGGGGAGGATAAGTCGAGCGCGTCTTGGGTTTGTCGGAATGAGAGGGTTGCTAGGGAAAGGGGGACGACGAATTGGGAGTATGTGGGTTGGTTGACGTATGGGACGTTGGCGAAACTTGTTCTTACGACTATTACGTTTGGGATCAAGGTTCCGTCTGGGGTTATTATTCCAGCGCTGGATGCGGGTGCTTTCTTTGGGAGGCTGGTTGGTCAGGCTATCGGTTCGATCAGTCCGGGTATCTTCGCCATGGTGGGTGCTGCTGCGTTTCTGGCGGGTGTGTCTCGGATGACCATTTCTCTTGCTGTTATCGTAAGTCTCTTCATCTCCACGTTCTTTCAGTATTCATTGTCAACTAACATATATCTAGATGTTCGAACTCACAGGCCAACTCTCTTACACCGTCCCGTCCATGCTCGCCATCCTAACCGCAAAATGGGTCGCCGACGCAATCTCCTCAGAAGGCGTCTACGACCTCGCTCAATCCCTACTCTCCCACCCTTTTCTCGACCCAGACACCGCTTTATCCATCGTCCGCCGCCACAAAGCCTGCGTCGAGGTCCTGATCCCTCCTCAGCGCACCATGGATGACATTACCGTTCATGTACCTACAAGCAATAAAGTAGCTTTGACTCTGCTGAAAGAGAAGCTCGATGCGTTGAGAGAACGGGGTCTCATGGACGCGGGTCTTGTTCTAGTACAGAAGAATGGTGGCGGCGTTGAAGTGTTGCAAGGGTACATTTCGCAGTCGGAGCTTGAATTTGGATTGACAAAACTCGTTCCTGGTGTGCTTGTGTCGACGCAGGAAGACGATGTTCAGGTCAGGTTGCTAGGCCAGGAGATTGATGAGCCGACGAGCCCGATGAACTTGGAGATGGATTTGACGCCTTTTGTGGATCGGACGCCATTAAGCATCTGTGCGAAAGCACCTCTGGAGTATGCTGTCGAGATGTTCTCTAAGCTGGGGTTGAGGTATCTTATGGTGACAAAGGAGGGCACAGGACAACTGGTGGGTGTGATTATCAAGAAGAGGCTCGTAGGCTACCTTGAACATCTAAGAGAACACGGCGAAGGAGATTAGTAGGACGTAACTAGTACACACAATACACTGTTTAGTGGACAATATCTGATTATAGCATCTTTTCGCTAACAAGAAGCTGAGGCGCCTGCCATGTCTGTCTAGTCACTTTCGCAACATGTCTGATCACAGCCAGGTCGCTCAAAGTACGAATCGAATTACAACGCTCGTGTCCACACGTGAAATATTCCAACAACCAAGCCCAGCGGGACGTCAGCCATGACCAGCTTACTCCTCAGCCTCGAGAGGAGCCTCCTCGTCGTACTCGTCCTCACCCTCGGAGACGGAAGCCTCCTGGTATTGCTGGTACTCGGAGACCAAGTCGTTCATGTTGGACTCAGCCTCAGTGAACTCCATCTCGTCCATACCCTCACCAGTGTACCAATGCAAGAAAGCCTTGCGCCTGAACATGGCAGTGAACTGGTCACCGACACGCTTGAACAGCTCCTGGATGGAGGTCGAGTTACCGACGAAGGTGGAGGACATCTTGAGGCCGCGGGGAGGGATGGAGCAGAGGGCGGTCTGGACGTTGTTGGGGATCCACTCAACGAAGTAGGAGGAGTTCTTGTTCTGGACGTTGCGCATCTGGTCCTCGACCTCCTTCATGGAGACCTTACCACGGAAGTAGGCAGAGCAGGTCAGGTAGCGACCGTTGCGGAAGTCGGACGCAGCCATCATGTTCTTGGGGTCGAACATCTGCTGGGTGAGCTCGGGAACGGTGACGGCGCGGAAGGAGTGGGCGCCGCGGCTGGTGAGGGGAGCGAATCCGACCATGAAGAAGTGGAGACGGGGGAAGGGAACCATGTTGACGGCCAACTTCCTCAGGTCAGAGTTGAGCTGACCGGGGAAACGCAGGCAGGTGGTGACACCTGACATGACGGCGGAGACGAGGTGGTTCAGGTCGCCGTATGAGGGGTTGTTCAGCTTGAGGGTGCGCATGCAGATGTCGTAGAGAGCCTCGTTGTCAATGCAGAAGGTCTCGTCGGAGTTCTCAACCAGCTGGTGGATGGAGAGTGTGGCGTTGTAGGGCTCGACAACGGTGTCGGAGACCTTGGGGGAGGGCACGACGGAGTAGGTGGCCATCATGCGGTCGGGGAACTCCTCACGGATCTTGGAGATGAGGAGCGTACCCATACCGGCACCAGTACCACCTCCGAGGGAGTGGGTGATCTGGAAACCCTGGAGGCAGTCGCAGCCCTCGGCCTCGCGGCGCACGACGTCGAGGACCTGGTCGACGAGCTCGGCACCCTCGGTGTAGTGACCCTTTGCCCAGTTGTTACCAGCACCAGACTGGCCGAAGACGAAATTGTCGGGGCGGAACAGCTGGCCGAAGGGGCCGGCGCGGACGGCGTCCATGGTACCGGGCTCGAGGTCAACGAGGACGGCACGGGGCACGAACTTGTTGTTGGACGCCTGCTGTAGATCAGTATTGGTCTTTTATCTGCCAAAAGCGTAATCGGGGGACGCACTTCGTTGAAGTAGACATTCATGCGCTCGAGCTGCAGGTCCGAGGTGCCGTTGTAGACACCGGAGCCGTCGAGGCCATGCTCGCCGGAGATGGTCTGCCAGAAGGCGGCACCGATTTGGTTACCCTGGGCAATGTTAGCTGTCGTCTGTACACAGAGGAGCGATATAAGAACTTACGCATTGACCGGTCTGAAGGTGAACCTGTGGCAGAGAAACGTCGTTAGCTGTTGTTCTTTGTGTTGTCCCTGAGTCTCGGCGCGGGGCAGCGACGCGCCACGACTAGGCGGCAGTGCGGGCGATACGTACAATCTCACGCATGTTGGCGGTTGGGGGCGAGGAATATGGAAGTTGGAGAGGTGAAGATGCGAGGAGCTGGGTTATGGCTGGTCGCTGGTGGTGGTGCTGGTGTGGAGAGCAGGAGGAGCAGAAGCGGTGAGTGCGTTAAAGATCTCTGTGGGTCGTCTGCACGGGCCGTCGGCGCTAGAGCTATTTACTAACAACGCGCCAAAGCTGGTGCCTGCCGGCTGAAGGGGCTAGTCATGAACATGTACAGCTGCACTAGCAAGGCACAAGTCGTTGCTGTCGAATGGCTTCGCTGCTTTGCAGTATCTTGTATTACTGGTTGGTTTCATGTCGTGATAGACGTGCTACTGGAGGCGGTTGCGGACTTGTTGTTCCCATCCCATCCCCTATCAAATTCGCCTATCCGTATCGTCGTTCGCAGCGCGGAAACCGCACAACGCTGATCTTGCAGAGCACATGCATAAATCCTCCCTGACACGCGAACCTAATCCTGCCCAAGACTCCACGTCGTCACCGCCTATAGCTCCTTCTTCGTTGAGCCATTTGCATGGCCACCAGCCTGTCGCTTGACAACCTGCGGCATCGTCCAGAAGTTGGGCCAGTAGAGCTCATACTCGTCCTGCCTGTAGTTGAGGCAGTGTCGCAGCCATACGCCCCATACAATGTAGTAGTAAGCTCCAGTTCCCGTCATGAGATGCCTGGTATTGTGAGTTTTCGTCTTTCTAAGATGAATGCAATACTTACCACCAGCCATGACCCTCGAGCACGAAACCCCAGGGCATACCAATCTCCCTCCGCCACTGGATCAACTGCGAGCAATGCACATTGTCGAGGTGCCAGACAGCAAAGCCTCCCAGGAAGATGCTGAGGCCGAATGCAATCATCTGCCACATCTTACTGAGAATTTCTTGGTCGCGAATGTCTTCTCTCTCTTGAACCGCCTTCACACCTCCGTGCGGGCGCGGGTTCGCTGCTTCCCTCTCCTTGGACTTGAAGCGCGGGCGGATGTTCACCTCCATTACATACATGGCGCGGAACAGGACAATCGCTGTGAGAATCGCATAGGCGTTCTGATGGAAGGTGGGGTCCTGGAGGAAGTGGTAGTAGAGCGTAATGAAGGCGGCAAGAGACACAAGTCCAATTGCAAGAACCGTAGAGTACAGCCTTGACTTGCCATAAGAGAACGTCGCAAAGTTCATCAAGCAAGTCGTGTAGATCATCGAAAGCTCGTCTACCAACTGCATAGGATCTAACACGAATCAGATACTGCATGTGAACAATCGATTCAGCAGCGAACATACATTTCAATGTCGCGTGAAAGAGAAAGCTCCCAGTTCCGACCAGTAGATAGCCAATAAACGCCACGAGAAAGACGGTGTCATGTCCATTCTTCAAGCAGTTGCGTATGCCTTTTGCAGCGAGGTATATAAACAGCAGATTCGTGAGCGTGTTGATAATCTCCGCAGAGTACTGCGTGACTACATAATTCTTCAAACGGTTAGCACGCGCTTCTCCAACGCAATGACCCTCTCAACTAACCTCTTCACACCAATCGAGCGTAGAGGTGACCGGAGAGAAGAAGCCATCCTGTTCCGGCGGGTACGGTATCGACGGCAGACGGGAAAAGAACGCAGCCATCTTCACTCTACACAAAATCTCGAAAAGAGAAAAAGAAAGAAGTGAGAGGTTGAGGAAAGAGAAACTGCAGGTGTTTGACTTCGCTATCAAGCTTGTATCTAGCACCGGCTTTTGCGGAAGGAAAGACTGGAGAGCGACAATCCGCGACACGAGAGGCCCATGCTCCAACGATAGGCTGCCAGACTACCACGCCACACGTGGGCAAACAGTAAGGATTACTGCGCAAAAGGAATCGCCCCCAGTACACATTCCTACCGCCGACGTATACCTCTCGCACACGTCGGAAAGCTTGGCTCCCGAGCTGACAGAGGTCGCAGCTCACGGTGCAGTTTTCGGTGTGAATCCAAACAGCCAATCACGTCCGCCCAGGGTCTCTCGCAACTGCCGAACCGAGAAAGCTTGAGAAGCAGCAGCCAGGCCAGCGCTCTCACGAGACCTACGAGCCAATCGTCAACTTTACCAAATCTCCGCCCACCATGTCCATGTCAAACGAGGCCTTGCAGAAGGTGCGTCAATCAATGCGATGTGATGGATAAAGAAAAGAGCGGGGATCTAACGCGGGAAACACCCAGGTCCTACAAGAAATCAGCCAAAAGAAGGCCTTCGCCGAACAACAACTCGTCATTGTCAAACAACAAAAAGCCGCCCGGACGCGAGAGGGGCGTATGCTGCAACTCACTTCCTCGGAAGTCTCGTCGCTGCCTGCTGAGACAAAGGTGTATGAGGGTATGGGCAAGATGTAAGTTGCATCTCTCGCTATTTGCCCCTCGCGACTGCGGGGGAAGAGATGAAACGTAAAGACTGATTGCTATGGACAGGTTCGTCTGCACGCCTATTCCAGATGTGCAGAAGAGGCTCCAGGAGGAGAGTGAGGCGTTGAACAAGGAGATGTCCAATCTAGATAAGAAGGAGGATTACCTTGAGAAGACGTATACGAACAGCAAAAACAGCCTTGAGCAGGTGCTGAAGGGCGCGGCTTGAGTGCGCTGTCGGCATTCCGTCATAGTTATGAGATCGATTCAACAAATCGGAATGAGGGGTTAGGAAGACTAGAAAGAGTCTACTCAGATGTTTGCTCTTGCCACCAAGTGGTGCAAAGACAATGGCGAACAATAGCTTCTACTCTACGGATGATAGCAGGAAGTTGGTAGTAGCACAGCCACAAATTCAATACGATGTTGATAACACTCAATCCACTAGAACCGTTGACGACCAGTTACACCATGAAATGATCGACGATAGTCGCGGGAGTATGAAGTAAAGTGTCTTTTCGCTTTTACCATGCACCTACTTCTCACCCCTACCGCATCCTAACAAGCATCGCCTCAACACCCTCCAAGCACTTCCTCACCTCCTCTGCCGCCCTCGCCACATACGCGCCATCCACTACCCTATGATCAGCACTCCAGCTAAACACACACTCCTCCCTCTTGATCAGCTCATCGTTCTCCCCAAAGGCCGGCACCACTCTCGCTTTACCGACACCCAAAATACCAACTTGGGGCCCAACGATTACGGGTGCCACAGCACCGCCGCCTATGCTACCAATGTTGCTGACTGTGAAGGTCGCGCCAGTGAGATCAGCGGATGCGAGT